CCCCCAACCTATGCTGAGCTGGGGCAGTGTTTGAAATACACCAGTCTGTTATGTCCTTCAGGGCCTTTACTCATCCAGCTTCCTCTGCCTGCACTGCCCTTCCCTTATTGATCCCGCAAACACCTGCTTTTCTTTAAGATTCCATTCTAGCTTTTCTCAGTCCCCATCTAGGGAAATTTGACCACTCCAGTGCATCTCCACTGTACCTACTACCATAATGCTACATTGTGTTTATGTACTTCCATAACTTTTCTTCCTGTAAATGCAAACTTTAGGAAGGCAAGGCTTTTGAATGATTGATATCTGTATCCAGAGTACCAAGTACAATGCTTAGCACAAGGAGGCACTTAATAAATATTGAATGAATTAATGGATACTTCATGAAAACAAAGTAGTGGGCAAAGCCAGGAAAAAACAGATTTGATAAAGTCTCATCAATTTACTACAAGATGAGGATTGGGTCCATCTGAATAGTGAAAAGTATTATTACCTATTACTCTAAGGTCAGTAAAATTCTATTACTTTGTAGTATAACCAGTGCCTCCCTTCTTTGTTCCATGATATCTGCCTTTGGGCTACAATTAGACCTTATACATTACTCTATTATATACCACTAACCATGCTGCTTCCATAATGTTTTTATGTATGTTTCCCCCCACTAGAACGACAGCTTTTTGACCCTGTCATATTCATCTCTATATCTCCATCACATAATCCATAATAGGTATTCAATAAGTGTTTATTGAATTAAAATTAATCAGTGTCTTGTAAAACCCCAGGGATTTATGTCGATGACCATAAGAATGATTTTCGGCTTACTGTATCTTAAAGATAAATAAGGGCCTAATATTTGCATACATTAAAATTTTTCAATTTGCTTAGCACACTTTTAAAAAATTTTTTACAGATTCTACAAATGTAAGCTCCAACTCAGATATTTTTTGAATTATCAAAAATTCCAAATTAAGGAAGTCCAAATTAGTGAGGCTTTATTGTTTCATTTTTGTTTTTGCTCATATGCATCTGCATTTGGACAAAGTAGGCACTGGAAAATGTAGATATGGTTTATCTGTACCAGTTTTTATGGGCCCAATGAATTTTCCTTTGACTTCTTAATGTTGTTTATGATTTATAATCAGAAAAATTTTTTTTTCAAGGGTGCTTCCACTGCAGGAGGCCTGGGTTTGATCCCTGGTCTGGAACTAAGATCCCAAATCCCCAGTGCTGGTACTCGGTATGGCAGAAAAAAAAAAAGTTTTTAAACTATAAAGTCAAATTCTCTTACTTTTGATGGTGTTACTAAGGATTAAATCACAAGGATCTCAGCTGATTGCTTGCTTTTTTCCCTTTATTACAAGATTTCTATTTAGGTGACATGATAAACAAAGAACAGGACACCCTTGACTGGTGTGGAAAGGGAATGGTGGGGAAGAAGGACCATGCTTGTGTGCTCTTCATTCTAATGGTAAAATAATGGTTAACGCCTCAATTTCTTTATGGTATTCCACTCTAGAAACGTGCTTACAAGAGCTATGTGCGAGCCCTCCCTCTGCTGAAGAAAATGGGGATCAATTCCATTCTCCTCCGCAAAAGCATTGGTGCTCTTGAGGTGGCCTGTGGCATTGTCATGACTCTCGTGCCTGGGCGTCCCAAAGACGTAGCCAACTTTTTCCTCCTCTTGCTGGTGTTGGCGGTCCTCTTCTTCCACCAGCTAGTCGGTGATCCTCTCAAACGCTACGCCCATGCCCTGGTGTTTGGAATCCTGCTCACCTGCCGCCTGCTGATTGCCCGCAAGCCCGAAGACCGGTCTTCTGAGAAGAAATCCTCGCCGCCAGAGAATGCGGGGAGTGACAGCAATGTGGGGAATACCGAGGAGCAGCCGTCCTTATATGAGAAGGCCCCTCAGGGCAAAATGAAATTGTCGTAGGAGAGCAGAGGTGCAAAAAATGGACCTTCCAGGCAGTTGCCTCCGTGACACCCAGGAAGATGTCAGTGTGTGTTTTTCATTTGATTTATTTATCTTGGGGGAAAAGGGACACATATAACCTGCAAGTTGATGGTCCTATTGGCTTGTCTACACCTATACCCTAAAATGACCTCCCCACATAGACGTGTGTGCACCACCTTTAATCACTCTGGGGCAACTCTCACATCTTGCTGCATGTACATGTATATGGCTAACTATTGAAGTGTTTTTGTGAGATGGATTCCAGCAAGCATGTGACTGTGAGATTATGTGTGGGTAAACGTTACTTTGTGTGTGTGTGTGTGTGTGTGTGTGTGTGTGTGTTCACTCGCATGTGCGAAGGAGAAGGCTCTGATCTTGAACTAATCCTGCATAGGTATCCTTTCCTTTATAGACTGATTCTAGTGAAGGCAGAATAAAATAAATCTCCTATAAAGAGAATCCCACTTACTTCTTGGTATAAAACAAACTATGTATTCCCATGGGATAGGGGGATCCCTCACTAGATTAAGCTGAAAACTTAAACCTCCCACTTTAGGAAAAAGTTCCTTCAATTTGAGACACTGAGTTACATGTAAAATGAATTAACCTCTACTTTAAAAGTTGTTTAAATTGTAAATACTCCATATTGAGTTTAATTAAAATAAGGGAAATATGCAGTCAGTAGATAGTCTAATTCTTCAAGTGATAAAATTGGAAGTTTCACCTTGCCTTTGCCAGAGCCCAGCCTACTAAGCTCCTTTACTCACAGTTGGAAACTGAAACAATAAACTTGTTATCAGACATCTGTTTTGGATTTTCTTAAGCCAAAAGCTGCCTCACTTCCACTATTCTCAGCAGCTAACCAGGATTTGGCAGCTGCTCCACTGTTGCAGTTGAGGGAGCAAAGATTAGTCCTGTTAGAAGTCTGTGAATCTCCAACTCTAGCTGTTCTCTTCAATCATCTGAAATTTGACAGAGGAGCTGTATCCAGTCTTTCCTGCCAAACAGATTCACTATTGTTTCTGAATTTTCACTGAACTTTGCTAGTGTAAGCAGAGATCCAAGTTACCCCCATGGTTGTATCCTCCACTACACCTCTTTCAGTGGGTGGAGTTTAGCTGGGGGAAGGACATTTGATATGGGTTAGTCAGATTGAGCAGTATGAAAATTTGCTTTCTTCATTATATACTGCTGCTTCTCCTTGTTAGATGTGCTCTGATGGTTTAAATATCATTGTGCCAGGGATGGGGAAAGGGGTGGGGGTGTTGTGTGTGGGGAGTACGAAATAATGTATTTTCTTCAGTGTCATTGTTCTTGTTAATTGATACCTCTCTGTCTTATTTCTCTCATTCTTTCAAAATAAACATTTTTGAAGTTTGGAGGAAATAGTCTGGACAAATAATGAAAGTCTGGAAAGAAAGGGTCATATCATGGGATTCAGGCTGTTTTATTTTTGAGTGGATGTGGAAGGAGAATAAAGACAAGGGGGAGTACAATAATATACTAGTGAGATTACAAACTTTCTTTTTTAAAAAAATTTTTTTAATTTATTTTTTTCCATTTATTTTTATTAGTTGGAGGCTAATTACTTTACAATATTGCAGTGGTTTTTGTCATACATTGAAATGAATTAGCCATGGATTTACATGTATTCCCCATCCCGGTCCCCCCTCCCACCTCCCTCTCCACCCGATCCCTCTGGGTCTTCCCAGTGCACCAGGCCCAAGCACTTGTCTCATTTAAGTTCACTCACAATTTTGTGATGTCAGCACATGAAACAGAAAGCCACAAAATTAAGATCTCAATACAATTCACAGGTTTGGTGATGCCAAGGGAAGGTTGAAGAATGATTTCACCAAAAAAATTGCAGATGAATAAATAAAGATGAGCCAGTGTGTCTCACTATATATGTACCCACAAACTGGCACAAATTCCAGTGCCACAGACTTGTCACATTAGGCAAATTATTTTACCACTCAGGGCCCCAATTTCATTTACAAAAGCAAAGTGATTGAAGGCTTAAAATTCTTTCCAATCTACACGAGTCTATGAAATGATTAAAACTATGAAAATATGTCTCAAGAATTTTTCAGTTTTACTAGATAAGGAAGAGCATCTGCCATAGAAAATACTGAAGTCAGTTCTCCCGCCTGATTAAACATGAGTTCTTGAAAGTACTTTGAAAACCATGTTAAGATGTGGCAAATAACCATTTTTTGCTGTAGTCTTTCCCAAATACATCAGCATAATCTGATTCTTCATCTCTCCCTAAGATTGCAGAGTGTCCTCCCACAGTTTTGCCTACAGTTTATGGATTATGTTTTGGCCTCAAAAAAACCTGTGAGAGTCACTAAATTTTTATCTTTTCTCGCCACTCCCCACTCTGGTAAGATTAAACTAGGGACTAATCTCAGGTCTCAGACTAAGCCCTTGTTGCTGTTTTAGCCAGTGTCTGTAAAGTCCATCGATTCCTCAAAGTTAGGAATCTTTGCATTTTGATTGGCCACCTACATACAAGACACCGTTTCCAGCAAAACCTCGAAGGTATGTGTGCCAATTCTCGGTAAAAAGAAGGCAAATTCAGCTGTCCTTTCCTCTCACCTCCTAGAGACAGCTTCAGAGGTCTCAGGCCCTTTAACTTAATTCTCTTGACCAGCATGGGAGAACAGCCTTTATTGAGAAGTTTGCAGTTTCATATTTTCCTACAAAGTCCCGACATTTGGGATCAGCCTGAGCAAAAGGATCACTATAATTGGTCTTGTTAAATTCAAGAACCGAGACACTAATCGTTTTGTTTTACGCACAATGACAAATGCGAACATTAATAGAACGAGGGGAACGGCAGCCAATCCGCTGATTTCAGCAGCAACGGCCGACTTGCTGCACTTCCCCGGGCCCGAGCGGGTGGGGCGCGCGGCTCTGAGGAATTGAGTTTGCGTCAGCGTCAGCGCGCGCACCGCCTCGCGCCAGTGAGCTGCGACTCAACCAATCAAGCTTCAGCAGAGCACGTGGCTCCGCCCTGCCGCCGCCCGCGTCCCCGCGGAAGCGCATGCGCGGGGTGGAGCCCATTTATTTGAATCCGAGAGGTGGTGTTTGGAACCGGGAGGAGTTGGGACCGCGGAGTGTATGAGGTGAGATATTTTTAAACACACGGCAAAATGGGAGCCCAGGTACCGAAGAGAATCAATCTCCTGACTTCTGAGCAAGGCAGTCCTCCAAGGTGTCGGGTTTCCCCCAGACCAGGAATCTGCCCAGTGGGTCCGTGGTCGGGGCCAGGTTTGCTCCCTGTTGAGGCAGGCTGTGAGAGGGGAGTTCTTGGGGAGCGATGGGACAGTTCCACCAGAAGGGTCCCGAAGCTGGTCGCCCGCCCTTCTTACGTAGGACCCGAGGAAACAGCGGACAACCTGGAACCTCCTGATGGTCTAGACGTACATATTGCTTTCCTTCCTGCTCCGGCCTCATCTGTTCTAGGGAGATGGGGTTGAGTGTCATTACGACCATTTCTTTAGTTTTTCCCATTTGCAGCCCCAAACTTAGAAGTCATTCTGGCTTTCTCTCTTTTTCCCTACATCCAATTCTTTTGTTATGGCCTTGATCAATCTCCTTCCAAAACATTTCACGAATACAATCATCTTCTGTCTCTCTTACTATTTACACGTTAGGCCAGGTTCAGACCACAGTCACATCCCTTCGCCCTTTGCTAAACTTTTTTTTTTCCCACTCCTGGGCCCCTGACATTCTATTCTCTGCCCTGCAGCTAAAATGATCTTAAAACATAAATCATATGGTATCACTTCCTCTATGACACTCTTCCCTTCCCCTTATAGTTAGTTGCCTATGACACTTAAAATCCAGACTCCTTGTTTTGGTTGACAAACCCCAATATAGCAGTCCCTGTCTGTTTTTCTGACTTTGTCTCCCACTACTCTGTACCTCTTTCATGCCACTACTCATCCTCACCTCTTACTGGTAGTGTTGCTGTTTCTTTAACACACAAAGACTTTGCTTCAAGATCTTAGTATGTCTGGCTCTTTCCTCTCTGTGAAATAGTCTTTGACCAGATCTTAACATAGTTGGTTCCTCCTGGCATTTGAATTTAGCTTAAAGGTTACATCAGAGAGGCTTTCTCTGAACACTTGTTCCGCAGTAGCTTGTCACTGTCACCTCACCCCCCTTTTTTATCACACCACTGTATATTATGTTCGCTATTATTTATTGACTCTCATATGCTTCCCCATCCCACCCCTGTAAGTTTCACTATAGCAGAGGCCTTGACTTTTATTATTTATCCCTGATAAGTAGAACTGTGCTTGGCATATAGATGATGCTTAGTAATTATTTACTGATAAGTGAATTAGTGAGCCATGTTTCTGTTCTGAGAATCCTTAGTTTGGCAACCAGTTTGTCTTAAACTTAGCACTGACACGGCAGGCAGCATTAAAGATTAAAAGCAAAATCAAGGCAAAGTGGAGAGAAATAGGAGTGGAGAAAGTAACATTGAGTTCATGAGATGAATTAGTATTAGACTTACTTATGTGATATAGCCATTTTAGGAGAATTTGTTATGTTCCCTGTACTATTACCATCTTTTTCCCCCCTCCCACAGGGCCAGTTCAGTGAATGTTACCTTGGAGAGCTGTTTCTCTCTGTTCCTCTTTAGGTCAAAAGGCTTTTTGAGAAAGTTAACCTATATATTTTGTTGCCTGGATTGCTGTCATTTTTTATTGGGTACTTGTATGCTAGGTGCTCTGTACTAAATGTGGGGAGTACAGATAGGTGTGGTGAGGGACTGTTTGGCTGGTTAGTGACACCCTGATACTTGTTTCTATATAGAACATGTGCAGTAATGTCATCTCAAAAGAAAATTAACTCTTGGGCACGAAGGAGGACTTCACAGGGTAGTAGTAGCTATCAGACTAGACTCTCAGCCTGGAGAGTAAAAGAGGACCTAAGTGACTCAAAGAGCATCTCAAAACGTGGACAGAACAATACTGTGGAAGATTATGAAGGTGCTGATGATCAAGCAGAAGACGCTCTACAGATAGCATTGAGATATTTTGAGAAAGGTAAGAGATTGTTTTCCTTGTGTAAGGCCTGTTCCTGTGAAAAAATTCTAGACTCTTTTGGTAAGGATTTTTAAAGGAAAGCATATTTTTTTGCTCATTCATGATTTTTGTTTATTTAATGGACATTTATTGAGCACTTAACTACATACCAGTATGCTAGGTACTAGGGATACAACAACAAAGAATGTTCCCAGCAGAGTGGTTTTCAAACTGTTGCACATTGGGATTAAATTACCTCAGAATCTTTTTCTTTTAATATTGATTTATTTGACCACATCATGGATGCAGTTTTGTCATGGGAGGTGCTCGGGATCTTTGTTGTGTCTAGTGGGGTCTTTCGTTTCACAGACTCTGTAGTTGTGGCATGAGGTCTCAGTAGTTCTGCAGCATGTGGGGTCTTAGCTTCCTGACTGAAAGTCGAACCCGAGACTCCTGCATTGCATAGCGGATTCTTAACCACTGGACCACCAGGGAAGTCCCCTACCCGAGAATCTTTAGAAACCACTGGTACCTGGCATCCACTCTTAGATTTTCTGATTTTATTAGTATGGGACACAACTTGGGCATTGGAATTTTTCAACAGCTCTCTAAGTGATTCAGATGTGCAAGAAAGCTTGTGAACCACTGTCTTAGTTACTGAAAACAGCTTAGTTTTAAGTTCAGTGCTTTTAGTTAGTTTAGAGCAAAGATACCAGGGCAGGACTCAGTTTTCCTGCTGTCAAATATTCTAGAGTTTTAAGGGCTTTGAAGGGTTTTTAGGAAGACTTTTTTTTTTTTACATAAAGCTGTTCCTTTGAAGTAGTCTAATTGTAACTGTTGAGGCTGAGGAGTGAGAGAGTTTTAAAGTCCTCACTGTTTACAATTGTTCCTCTTTCAGGTCCCATTAAAACTTCACAGAGTAAAGAGAAACACTTGAAAACTGTGGAAAATGTGGCATGGAAGAATGGGTTAGCTCCAGAAGGAATCGACATTCTATTAAGTGTGGCACTCAGTGGCAAATTTGGTATGTCACAGGGATAAATTTTTCAGCATTAGTTTTGCCTTTCAGAATTTGAATTACATTGTTGATTGGAATCAGATGCAGTTAAAGAACTGTTTATTTTTCCTATTCTCTTCATAAAACTAATCTAAGATTATACAAATGGACCTTTCTTATGTCCAAACTTTGTGGCTCAGCTGGTAAAGAATCTGCCTGCAGTGCAGGAGACCTGGGTTTGATCCCTGGGTTGGGAAGATCCCTTGGAGGAGGGAAAGGCTACCCACTCCAGTATTCTGGCCTGGAGAATTCCATGGACTATATAGTCCATGGGGTCGCAAAGAGTCGGACACCACTGAGCGACTTTCACTTTCACTCACTATGTTGAAACTACCTTAACGAAAGCTTTCTATGTGCATATGCTGAAAATGGCTAGTTATCACATTTTTATTTTTAAAATGGATTCTCGTTACCAAATGCATGGAAGCAATTTTTAGTATTTCTCTTAGGAAGGGTAGATAATAGTTTAAGTAGTGTTGCTAGAAGGCACATTAAGAGATCACTGGTGTACTTTATTGCCTTTAGGTTCACTTATCAGTGACAGCAGGTCGATGTTGATATTGTCTCAATTCCAGTGTCTGTGGCTTTAACAGTTAAGATGTTTTTTCTTTTGAGCAAATGCTTCCTTTTCTGTTCTAAGTTCATTTGTATGGGGGTGGAGGTGGGGAATCTTAGAAAGAAATGGTATCTGTCCATTATTCTTTTCACTTGAGGACCTTTTAACCTACTCTCATCCAAATTTAGACGTAGAGAGTATTTTAGCCCTTGAACATTCTCATTTTAAATGTGAGGGAACTGAAGCCCAGAGTGGTTAAAGAGACTTGCTTAATCTCAGAGCTAGAACTGGGGAACTCTGGTCTCCTTACTCCCCTTCTAGTGCTTATAGTGCACCACACTGCTACCAGATTTTCTACTTTTTTTCTTTAAGACAACTGTCAAAATTGGATACTTATACCATTTTGCATATTGGGTTCCTTTGTGCATACCCTATCATGTTTGCAAGGGTGTGTGTTAGTCCCTCAGTTGTGTCCGACTCTGCGACCCCATGGACTATAGCCCGCCAGGCTCCTTTGTCCATGGGATTCTCCAGGCAAGAATACTGGAGTGGGTTGCCATTTGCAAGGGTATGTGTGTGTATTTTAAAGAAACAGTGCATGACTAGCTGAATTCAGTATATGACTTCCAGGTATTTTAGTTCTCTATTTTTACCTGATTAGTGCTCTCTGTTTTCCTAGAAAGTTAACTTTTAAAAATTTGATCTAATAAGATTGGTCTTCTTATAAGTGGTTTCAGATTGTTTGCTTCTAACAAATATCCAGGAATTCATATTTAACTGATTAGTGTCCATTGAGAACAATTCTATCTATTCCTTCTCCCCTTAAAACATGTATAGAATGTACAGATGTTTTCTACTTTGGAATTTCTCTTTTCTTTTATGATATCTCAGAAACGAGCGATTAGGTTTTCATGATGTTTGCTAGGCCTTGTAGCAAATGCATGTGTTTTTAAAAATGCATGCCTCAGGCTTTGAAACTTGTATATAACAATTTGAAAAATAATCTCTAGCTTTCTAGTCTAATTTCATTTTTCTATTAAGCTGGAATTTCGAGACATTAAATGTAGCCTCCTTAATTGCTTTTCTCCTTTTAGTTATTTCTATGATATCCCCCATCACTATTGGATCTTTGTATGTAACTCCTTTGCTAAGTTGAAATGCATATTCAAGGGCAGGTATACTAGAAATGTCATAATTAGGTACAAAGGGACTTTGTACTCTTTAGTAAGTAAAAAGTCACTGGGAAGTAAGAATAGAGTCAATATAGACTATTCAACATAGAATTCTCCTCTTGAATTTGATATGTGTATAGAGTATTAGTGGTCAGACTGTTGTAAACTTTACAAGAGTTGGGGGATGGGAATAGGGGAGAAGAGAGGTAAAAACAAGAAATCACTAAGTGGAAAACAGGTTTTTTATTCTTATGATTCATTACCTGCCATCACTGCTTCCTTTTTTCAACAAAAATGATGGGGTAGAAATTGATGAGACACATTGTTGTAGTTATGTGGGATAAGTAAATCCAGAGAACATGATGACTAAAGTTAGTAATACTGTATATAATATTGGAAATTTGCAAGAGAATAGATTTTAGGTGCTCTTATCACAGAGAAGAAAATGGTAACTATGTAAGGAAATAAAATGTTGATCAGCTTGACTAGAGTAGTCATTTTACTATAATAGGTATACAGTATCTGCCAGGTGTTTACATGTTACAACTATATAAATAGTTGTAAATACAATGTAAATACAATGTAAATGCAGTGTAAATAGTTGCCTGTGTAGGCCCAATTCAAGCTTTGCTTTTTGGAACTTTATGTAATATTTTTTTAGGAACATTTTCTGTGTTTAGTTGAATTCACAGATGTGGAACTTGAGGATATGGAGGGCTGATTATATCATATCATCATGTTGTGCATCTTCAATATATACAATTTTTACTAAGAAAAAAAAAGAGGTCTGCACCTGTAGGAAAAGAAAAGACATGTATAAGATGTTTCTGAGAATGCTACTTATGGGTGAAGTTAAGAACAGTGTTATCTTAGTGAATGGATGTGATCACCATGCTATAGTGCATGTAAGACAGTGTTTAAAGACCTGTATGCTTCTGAGAACGCTACTCTCAGAGAAGTTGAGAACAGTGTTATACTGAATGGATGTGATTAACACACTGTAATGCCTTTAAAACATTGGTTAAAAACACATGTATCCAAGATAATATTGTGGCTTCTACTTGTATGAGAAGTTGAGAACACTAGTTTTTCAGTGAATGGTTCTGATCACCACAGTATAATGCAAATAAAACAATATTTAAATACAAAAAGAAATTGATAATATATGTATATATAAAATTATTGAAGCCTTAATAAGCAGAAGCTGATATAGGGTGTATATTAAGACAAAGCTACTGGTCACATCACTTCTATTAGCAGATGGGAGAATAGCATGGAAGCCAGAGAATGATGGAAAGATTGGACCAATATAGAATGACAGTACTACCAGCTAATAGGGTAGTTGTTTCATTCTGGTATCCTTTCCACTTTTGGGGCGTGGATGGAGAATACAAATGCATCTATCTGTCCTTAAATGTAGCAGCTGATGTAAGATGTCTTACAGTAGATTTAAATAAATCAGAATCTATTATGCCATTTTTAAAAGTCCTTGAAATTTTCCTAGGAGTAAAACACTATTTTTGAGGTATAATTCACATACCATAAAATCCACCCTTTTGAAGCATATGGGGTTGGTTTTGTTCATTTTTTTTTTAGCATATCCATGGAGTTGGGTGGGCTTCCCAGGTCTGCCTACAATGCAATCTGTCTGCAATGCAGGAGACCCTGGTTCAATTCCTGGGTCAGGAAGATCCCCTGGAGATGGGATAGGCTACCCACTCCAGTATTCTTGGGTCTCCTTCGTGGCTTAGAAGGAATCTGCCTGCAATGTGGGAGACCTGGGTTTGATCCCTGGGTTGAGAAGATCCCCTGGAGAAGGGAATGGTTACTCATTCCAGTATTCTGGCCTGGAGAATTCCATGGACTGTATAGTCCATGGGGTCGCAAAGAGTCAGACACGACTAAGTGACTAAGCACAGCACATAGAGTGGGCAATCATCACTACTATCTAATTTAGTCCAAACATTTTCATCCTTCCAAGAAGAGATCCTGTATTCATCCTCCATTGTTAGATAGAAATATTAGAGCCAGTCTAGGGGTCCCCAAGGAGAGAGGTATGGAATATTCAAGGAGGAAGAAAGGACAAACTTTTTATTTTTTGTCCTCTACTTTCTTTAGGATTATATAACAATAATGTATCCTGCCTGAGGACAGTCTTTGGATTAAACCTTCTGGCTAATTCTGTTATTTTAAAACATAAATTATGGGAGTGGGTCTGGTCTTTACAAGGATGTATCCTGCCTGAGGACAGTTTTTGGATTAAACCTTCTGGCCAACTCTGTTATCTTAAAATGTAAATTATGGGAGTAGGTCTGCTGAGGTCTTTACAACCTCCAGACATTCTTTGGATTCATTGGAGCGTATATAACTCCATTGCTAACACTAGCAAAGGGGGTACTCTTTTGCCCCCTTCTGATGCCTATGTCAGAAGCTTTCTCTATCTCCTTTATACTTTAATAAAACTTTAGTGCACACACATAAAAAAGAAATATTAGAGCCAAAGAATTTGCTTTATAGTTTATATTAGAAGTTAAAAGTACATTTTTGTTTCAAGCTATGCTTTGTAATGATGATAAGAGTTATTGCTGCTGCTGCTAAGTCGCTTCAGTCGTGTCCGACTCTGTGCAACCCCATAGATGGCAGCCCACCAGGCTCCCCCGTCCCTGGGATTTTCCAGGCAAGAATGCTGGAGTGGGTTGCCGTTTCCTTCTCCAATGCATGAAAGTGAAAAGTGAAAGTGAAGTCGGTCAGTCAAGTCTGACTCTTTGCGACCCCATGGACTGCAGCTTACCAGGCTCCTCCACCCATAGGATTTTCCAGGCAAGAGTACTGGAGTGGGTTGCCATTGCCTTCACCGTAAGAGTTATTGAATATTACTTTATTGCCTTCAATGTGAAGTGAAAGTTTTAGGACCAAGAGTTAATTACAGTAAAGGGACTATCAAGACCCTAAAATGTAGTTTAATTTGGACTTTGTCTACTTTCTAGGGAGTGCTGTAAACACGCGGATATTCAAGTGTATAATTCCAGTAACTCTAATATCAGAAGATTCTGTGGTTAAGGCGGTCTCCTGGCTTTGTGCTGGCAAGTGTTCTGGTAGCACCAAGGTAATTTTTTTAAACACTGATGAAAAGTCCTTCAGAGCCACTTAAGGGCTGGCAAGGAAGAGCCACTTATGAAGTAATGGCAGTGGCCTTTTGTGCAAAGCTTGTAGTTTTGGAACAATATAACTTGATGCAAGAACTCTGTTCAAATAGAAATTTTTACTGAGAAATAAAGTCTATTATCCTTTGTGCTAGAGGCTTCTAAAACAGTCCTGAGGGGGGAATTAAGCTCTTTTGTGCCAGTTATATTTCTCTAAAGATAAGCATTTTGTTTCTCAATAGGTGCTTTTTTATCGTTGGCTGGTTGCAATGTTTGACTTCATTGATCACAAGGAGCAAATTAACTTGCTCTATGGCTTCTTTTTTGCTTCATTGCAAGATGATGAACTGGTAAGTAAAAATTGAATAGCATTATGCATTGATCAGTGGTACGTGCTTGTATATCGACGCACCATATATGCTTCAAAGTACCAAACAACTTTCCTTACTTATTTTAAAATGTATGAAACAGAAAAGTGTAATAAGTAGCATAACAAATCCTTTTTTACCTGTCTCTCAGATTAACAAATGAAAATTTCCCCACATTTGCTTTTTATCTTCTTTTAAGGAAATAATTGTTACAGGTAGAATTGAGTTCACATTGGAGTCTCTTTGCTGATCTAGAGCAATGATTGCCATCTTTTCCCTTTTAAACCACTTCAACAGGGTCCTTTGGGTCACTTATTCTACAGTTTCTTGATTAACACTGTGAAAACCTCATCAGAATTAATGAGAAGAGGGTTACTTTTCATGAGATGCCAGTGGACTATTTTTGATTAAATAGCATAATTAGTCCCATTGAAAGCATTAATAACTCTAAGAAATCAATCTACTGTCCACCTGGAAGTCTTTCAAGGACCATCAGTAGTTCACAGACCATGTGAACCATTCATTTAACAGAACTTCTCTTGCTTTGGGGAGGGGAGGGAATTCATTTATTGATTTCATTTTCAAAAATTGACTATGTTTGTTGCATTATATGAGACAGTGTAGAAGATTCAAAGATTAGCTGAGAGTTTCTGTATTCCAGGGGTTTGTAATCTATTTGGGAGACTAAGGAAAGCATGTAAAGTTAAATGACAACATGTAAGTTCTATTATCAAAGACAGTGTGTGTTAATATGAGGATAATAATTGCTGTGATATTTCCAGGAAGAAAAGAACACTGTAAACCAGAGTGATTAGGAAAAGCATCATAAAGTATGTGGGCACTGAACTGGGCCATGAAGGTGGAGTAGGATTTGAGATTTAATGTTTGATATGACAGGAATATTTCAAGCAAAGTTGTGAGCTGTGTAAATTGTGTTTAGGAAACCTTAAATAGATCAGACTGACTTAATTACAATTGATGTCAGGCAGTGGTGGGTGGTAAGGCTGAAAAAATTGGGTGTGGAAAAATTGTAGAGGTCTTTAAATATGATGGTAAGGAATTTGAACTTTATCCAGTGGGGAAGTCACTGAAAACTTTGGGACAGAACATGTTGAAAGCAACATTGTAGGAAGTTGTATCTAATAATGCCAAACATTATGAATTAGGATGGAAGCTAGAATCAGGAAGACTAGTTGGGAGACTGACATGTTGATGATATCCTAAACTAGCAATTCTCAAATATGCTCTGTGGATCCTTTGATGCTTCCTGAGAAACTTTCAGGAGGTCTCAGAGGTTAAAATTATCTTTATAGCAATATCAAGATGTTAGTATCTATTTTCACTGTGTTGCCATTTGCACTGATGATGGATAAAACTGCTGACCCACTCAGGGCAGTGAGTCCGCACTGTAGTAGGATTTGTTGTGTTCTTTACTGTAGTAAAAAACAAAAATGCTAGTTTTACTTAATAATGTCCCAAATGAAGCAATAAAAATTAATTCATTAATTATATTAAACTTCAACCTGTGAGACATATCTTTAATATTCTGTCTGATGAAATGGGAAGTATAAATAAATCCCTTCTGCATATTAAAGCACAACAGTTGTCGTGAGGAAAGAAACTTTGTGTGATTGAATTGTGAGCCAAACTAGCTACTTTTTTCCATGGAATACCATTTTTACTTCAAAGAATGACTGACATATAAACTATGTTTATTCAGACTTGGTATTTGGCGGATGTTTTCTTAAAAATGAACAAAGTGAGCTGGTCGTTTCATAGAAAACTGGAGCTATTTGTTGCAAGTGGTAAAATTTGAGCTTTAAAGCAAAAATGACAAGTTTGAAAAATTTGTATTTGTCATTGTGAACTTGACAGCTTCCCAATACTTAAAAGACTTTGCTGATGAGAATGAGAATATTAATGACTGTGATTTTTAGTATTATATAATGATTGCAATTATATTATAATTATATTAATAATTATATAATGAAATATGTCAACATTTGGGAGATCATTATAACTAATTTCCAAATGATCTCATTTGAAATTATGTATGGGTAAAAGCCATCCAAAATGCAAGATATATCAATGAATTTTAATAGAATAGAGTACAAAGAGTTCATTGATAAGATTTCAGAATCCACATTGCAGCTATTTCCTAAGAGACTACTGCTTATTAGTTCTGGTGAAGTATCAAAGACTAATATCCACAATTTTTTGAAAAAGCTATTAAAATATTCTTTCTTTCCCAATTACATATGTGTGTGAGGCTAACTTTTCTTCATGTACTTCAATCATAAGAATATATTGTTACATTTAATGCATAAGCAGAGTATCTACCTGTATTCTGTTAAGTCAGAAACGTTAAAGAGATTGTAGAAATGTAAAACTATGTCACGCTAAGTCTTTTTTTGGGAAAATATAGTTATTTTTCTTTTTCTTTTTTTTTTATTCTTGTAATTTTATTAATAATGCATAAATGATTAACGGACAGGCATCACCAGCTTCACTATCTTACCTACCCTGTTTCTATTTTACAACTGACCTAATGCCTGTTCATAAGGTTAAATATATCATCTTGGACCCCAAGTTTATACAATAAATTAATCTAACTTATACAATCAGACATCATATGTTTTTTTAAAAACCTAAAAAAAAGTCACTTGAAGTTCTCAAACTTTTAAAACACCTGCCCAAATTGCTTTCTAGGCAGAGAGGCACAGAGGGCTAACAATCAAAGAAATGCTCAATAAAAATATCTGTGAGACTATCCATCAGTGCTTTATTGATGGCAGGTTTCTACAATGGTATATCAAAAATAGATTTTAAAGAGTAAAAAAAAAATTCACTTGTTCATTTCTTAAGGTTTCTTATCCTTAATAGTCCACATTAATAAATCTCATAGTTCATGTGAAATATTATGACAATAGGTGAGTTATACAATGTACACTATACTGAAAACAGCAAAGGATCTAACAAACCAGGAAATTCCACTCAAGCCTATTTCTGCTTTATTGATCTGGACACAAGTACAGAAGTCTGGAAGGAAAAGACAGAATCTTGCAATATTTCCAGAATGATAATTAACTTTCCCACTCACGGTGGAAACCAGCAATCAGGGAAATAGGCAAGAAACCTTGCTCGTCCATCTTTCTCCTAAGAAAGAAATCCCGTTCCAAATTTTCTATACTGAAGTAATACTCAATTGAGGATTTCCTCTGCCCCGGCCTCTTCCTCATCCTCGGCCTCTTCCTCGGCCTCTAAAGGAACCTCGGATATTACCACCCTCACTTCTCACACCGGAAACTTCATCTTGATCTTCTCTCTTTTCTTTTTCACGCCTCCAACTTCGTGTGTCATTTCTCCTATTGTTTTGTGATGATTTATTTGCTTCAGATTGACATCTTGAGCTATTCTGGGACCCTGGTCTTTCTTGACTCTCTGGTCTTACATCTTCTAAGTGGAGTGGTACCCATCTGTGCTTATTAGCTCTTTTTTGTTGGTTACTTAACTGAGCCTCATCCTCACTGACATTTTCACCAGGACCATCTAATTTTGTTTCCCGGTTTTCTCTACTTTCATTGTTAACACTTCTCTTTTCAACCTTGTCTTCTCTTTCTTTTCTATTTTGTGGCTTCTTATTTCCTTGACTGATGACACTCTGACATTCAGTGTTCACTAATTCACTTGGTGTTGGCCAATTTGCCATATCGCTGAAATCACTAGCCTTATTGGATTTCTTTGTCTTGAGTTTTCCTGCTTTTATAATTTTGGGGGAACTGAGCTCTGCCTCCAAGGTTTCCAGTGGGGGCAACGGCAGCGGCCTCGTCCCGGCGGGGGACAGGTGCTGGGGAGGCTTTCTGGTCCAGGGATTCTCCTTCGGCTGTGGCGGCGGCTGCAGCTTTTCCTCCGAGCTGGCCGCCGCAGCCTCCTCCTCCAGGGCGTTCTCGGCCGGCGGGTCCCGCGGCAGCGGTCGCGGCGGCTCCCCACCGAAGGGACCCCCTGGCCCGCGCGCCTTGTGCGCCAGGTGCAGCGCCAGGGGCTTCACAGGCACGGCCGCCTGAGGCACGCTGTGTCCCAGCACCGGCACCGGCGACGGCTCGCCCCGCGCCCCCGCGCTGGTGGCGGTCGCGGCCCTCTCCTCCCTCGCCGCCTCCTTGCCCTCCCGTTCGAGCGGGGGTAGCTGCTCGGCCTGCCGGCTCCCCGCGGCCGCCAGCGACTCCCTCTCAGCTGCTGCCGCGGAAGGCTCCTCCCGAGGGTGAGCGGCGGGCACTGGAGCGCGAGCAGACATGGTCCCCCTGCCCCAGCCGCCCCAGCCAGGGGGGGCCCGGGGCAAGGGAGCCCGGCTGCCCGTCGCTCCGCCGGGACACCGACTGGCTGCGGCCTGAGGAAGAGAACCCGAGAACCCGGCCGCCGTCGCCACGGCCGCCCGTGTCGGGTGAGGAGGCCGTGCAGCTCTCGGCGTGCCGCCCCTCCCCGCGTCGAACGGGGCGCTAACCGCCCGTCGGCCCAGCCTGCCTCAGCGGCGCTAGCCCCGAGCCTGCCAACACGCGCCGGGCTTCGCAGCCGGAGCCGGGAGCCCTCAGCCGGCGCGGGCTGAGGCAGAAGCGCCGCAAACCAAGGCTTGAGGACCTCTCGTTACTTTTCATAAAATATTTCATTTATGGTTAGAATGTAATGAGTTTATTTTTTAAATGAGTTACTAAACATTAAAAAATTTCCTAGTTTTAATTTCTAATATGGTGAATATCAACAGCTATAAACCAGATAAACAAAACCTTTTGGGGATCTTCTAATTTTTAAGAATGTAAAGAGTCTTGAGACCAAAAAGTCTGAGAATCACTATCAGAGATTAAGGGGTATGAAAAATTGAAGGGACAAATCTTAAAGGAGACTGTAAAGGAAGAATTGACATAATCTAGTACCTAAACTGGATTAAGGGAAAGGTCAAGAAATAAAGATAGAGTTTGTAAGTCAGCATGATGCAGAATGATGGTACCTTTGACCATAAAAGGAAATTTGTGGAAAAGGAGGTAGTTTTAAAAGGAACATAATATGTTTGGCTTTAGATGTACAAAGTTTGAGGTTACATCCTGTAGAAATTCACTCAGTGAACATTTATTAACTAATGTGAGATTCATTGAGCTAGTATTGGAGATACAAAAATGAGTTAAGAATAAGTTAACTATTGGTCTTCCCATATGGTGCTAGTGGTAAAGAACCCTCCTGCCAATGCAGGAGACGTAAGATACCCGGGTTCAGTGCCTGGGTTGGGAAGATCCCCTGGAGGAGGGCATGGCCACCCCCTCCAGTATTCTTGCCTGGAGAATCCCATGGACAGAAAAGCCTGGTAGACCGTGGTCCATAGATTGCAAAGAGTCAGACGCAACCAAATCGACTTAGCACATAAGTTAACTATAAGCCTGATATAGTTAACTTATATGAGCCTTATATACCATGCACCAAGTGCTTTTACACAGTATTTCACCAACTCTAAGATGCCATCAGTTTTGAGATGCATCATTATCTTTCAAACCATTACAGTGGAATGTTGCCATTAAAATTGTCACCTGATACTGATTTTAGGATTAGTTTTCTTTTCAGAGATGTTAAAATGTAGAAAATGAAATGTCAGACTATGTATTTTTTCCTAGTTCTGAGGGTCTGAAAGTTCTTTTTATTGTTAACCTCATTTCAAAATAAACATTTATTTAGCACCTACTATTTTCTATACTTGTGCTCTCCAGTGTGGTATCCACTAACCTTATGCGACTAAATGAGCACTGGGAATGTGGCTAGACCAAACTGAAATGTGCTGTAAATATAAAACACACACCAGATAAGAAGTGGTTTTAACTTATTTAAACATCTTTACATCCTTGTGACATATACACTTTTATCCCCATTTTAGAGAGGAGGAGTATGAGGCACAGAGAAGTCAAATAATTATCCAGGGTCATGTGACTAGAGGCAGGATTTATGGAAAATGCTATTCCCATTTTAGAGATGAGACAACTGAGGCTTGGAAAAGTTATGTAACTTTGCTAAGGTAACTTACCTAGTAAGAGGCTGAGCCTTGAAGATCTTTAAATGTAGTAGGAGAGAGAAGTACAGTGTGATAAATCCTGTGATAATATCCACAGAGTTCCATGGGAATATAGAGGAGCAGTATCAGAATAAGACTAGGGATCATGATTAATGGAGAAGGAAATGGCAACCCACTCCAGTATCCTTCCCTGGAGAATTCTATGGACAGAAGAGCCTGTCCTCTGTAGCCTGTGGGCTACAATCCATAGGGGTTGCAAAAAGTCAGACACGACTGAGTGACTGTCACTTTCACTTTCAGGGTTAAAGTTACAGGGATTTCTTTTCAATAGGAAGAGAGATATGGGTGTTGATGTCCATAAATTTATGAGTTAGTAAGGGATGTGACTGAGGGATTTCCTGCCCAGTGGTTTTAGTGATTTTTTTTTTCCTCAAATTTTCACTCAAGTAGGAGGCAAGGTCTTCTGCTGAAAATGAGGAGGAAAAGATAGAATGTTATGTTTGAGAGTATACATTTTGAAATAGCTCTTGGTGGATATAGAAATAGATTAAGAGACACAGTTCTGAAGGCCCAGATAAGTTTAGGGAGCATGAATTTGTGATGTTACTAATGTCAAGGGTCATAGTTCCTCCAGGGTGGGACACGAAGGCAAGAGAGTGACTGAGCTAATAGATCAGGAAGTCTAGAGAGAAAAAGGAGAAGGTGAAGTCAAAAGAGAGCAGATTGGGAGCACAAACAGCTGAGTTTCAGGTTGCCTTGGTGACATTAAAGACATGTACTAGGATTGAAAATTGGAATGATAGAAATTGTGGCATTAGAGTTTAAGATTGCAGGGGGGGACTGGTTCAGTGTGATGACAGGATTTAGAGTGACAGTGCAATGAGTTGTTGAAGACTAGAGTAAGGGAATGAAGGTTATTGGAATTGAAATTTTCCGTATCCTGTGGATTTGTTGTTGCCATTGCTGCTCATCTGTCAATTACCAAGTGAAGTATGTTGAAAATCTCCCACTCAGAAGGCAGACTTGTCAGTTTTTCATTAAAAAGTTCTGTCAAATTTTGCTTTATATATTTTGAGTCTATTACTAGGTAAAGGCACAATTATAGTTTTCATATTGTCCTGCTGAGTCAAACCTGTATCATGGAGTAGCATTTTGTTAGAAATGCTTTTCGCTTTAGTCATTTTGTTTGATATTGACATTGTCAACTCAGGCTTTATTTTGGCTAGTATATTGCTTGGTATGGACATGAACTTGGGCAAACTCCGGGAGATAATGAGGGACAGGGAGGCCTCGTGTGCTGCAGTCCATAAGGTCACAAAGAGTCGGATATGACTTAGCGACTGAACAGCAACAACATTGCTTGGTGTATTTCTATCTTTTGGTTTTTTGAAAAATCTTCCTTTGCCCTCATGTCTTAGACACTTCCTCGCTCCAGCATTCTTGCCTGGAGAATCCCATGGACAAAGGAGCCTGGCTGGCTACAGTTCGTAGGGTTGCAAACAGTTGGATATGACTGAAACAACTTAGCATAGTACAGATTTTATTTTTAAATCCTGTTTAATGATTTTTCACTTTTGCCTGGAAAATTAGTTTATTTACCTTTGTAGTGATTATTGATATCGTAGAAATAAGTAGGACTACCTTATTTTTTAATTTTATTATTTTGGGCTGTGCTGGGTCTTTATTGCTGCAGTCTTTTCTAGAGTTGCAGGAACAGGAGCTACAATGTAATTGTGGTATGTGGGCTTCTCTTGTTGCGCAGCACAGACTCTAGGGTGCATAGGCTTCAGTAGTTGCAGCTCCCAGGCTCTAGAGCACAGGCTCAACAGTTGTGGTGCATGGGCTTAGTTGCTCCATGGCATGTGGAATCTTCCCAGATCAAGAGTGGAACTCCTGTATTTGGCAGGTGGATTCTTTACCACTGAACCACCAGGGAAACCCTGAGATCTCTTATTTTGAACTTTTAAATGATCTGCTTTTTTTCTGATTCTTTTCCTCATCCCTCTTATTTTGGATTGATTGTGGTTTTCCCCCATTCGTGGTTGGAAATTACATACTCTGTGTGTGGTGTTGTTATTGTACCTATTTTAATATGCATATATAGTATAAAATGTAAAATATATAAAAGGTCATCCTTCTTACTATTTTTCTTTTGTTTGGAAGATATAGTTATTTTTCATAAAATATGTCATTTATCATGTAATGGATTTATTGTTTAATGAATTAATAACTATTTATAATTTTCTCAGTTGAAATCTTGAAGGCTTTTCTTAAAGTCTAGAGGTAACCAATATCTTTATCTTCATCTTGAAAGATACAGGGCCCTAGAATTCTTTAACTCTGATCACATCCCTCCCAGATTGTACACTATTATCTGATTTTAGTTCTGACTCTTCACCATCCTCCTCCACATACAGACATAGTAGATATTATTATTTTTTTCACAATTAATGTTTCAATTTGCCCACATATTTGCCAGTTTCTTTGCTCATCATTTGTTTTTACATCTCAGACCTTTAATCGAGATTATTTTCCTCTGTCTGAAAATATTTTCTTTAGGTTTTTTTCTTCTTTATTTTGCTGTACCACCCAGCATATAGAACTTCCCCATGTGGGGATTAAACCTGTGCCAACTGCAGTGGAAGTGCAGTGTCTTAACCTCTGGACCACTGGGGAAATCCCTAGAATATTCTTTCAGTAGAATCTTGTTATTTTTAATTTTTTTTAATTTTTAATTGAAGGATAATACAATATTGTGTTGATTTCTGCCATACATCAACATGGATCGTAGATATACATATGTCCCCTCCCTCTTGAGCCTTCTTCTCACCTCCCACTCCATTCCACCCCTCTGGGTTGTCATAGTGCCCCAGTTTGAGAGTAGAATCTTTGATGGTAAACTCTGTCTTTGTCTAAAAATGTCTTTACTATGCCCGTGTTCCTAAAAATTGGTTCTGCCTAATCAGGAAAAGAATTTGAAAAAGAACAGATACATATATATGTAGGAAAAAAAAGAAATTTGGTTCTGTTGTGTGTAGAACACTAGGGTGACAGTTAAATTCTCTCAGGACATTGACAGTATTATTCCACTGGCACCTCCTTTCCATTGTTGTTGAATCAGTCTAACTGTAATACGTTGTTTCTTTTCTCTCGGAATACTTTTTAACAGCAGCTTTGTGAGATATAACTTATATACCACAGTCCACTCAAAGTAAAATCTGCTGGGTTTTAGTATGTTCGTAGATATGTGCAACCATGAGCAGAGTCAATTGTAGACCATTTTCATCACTTCAAAAATCTCATACCCCTTGGGAAACCAACGTATTCATGTGGCTTGCTTTATTGTGACCTTCTTACACTTAAAAAAAAAACTCATACATCTTAGCTATCACCCCTATCTTTCTATTTAGAGGTTCTTAAGCAACTCCTGGGGCTTTTGAGGTGGCACTAGTTGTAAAGAACCTGCCTGTCAATGCAGGAGACATAAGAGATGTGGGTTCAATCCCTGGGTTGGGAAGATTCCCTGAAGGCGATATGGCAGCCCACTCCACTATTCTTGCCTGGAGAATCCCCATAGTCAGAGGAGCCTGGCGGGCTACGTCGATGGGGTTGCAAAGAGTTGGACACGACTGAAACGACTTTGCGTGAATGCATGCAAACAACTCCTAATATATTTTGTGTTTTTAGAGATTTGCCTATTATGGACATTTCACATAAATGGAATCATATAGGGTGGTGTCATTTTTGACTGGCTTCTTTTAACTTACTTTACTTTTCACTTGAAAGCATAATGCTTTGCCTATCCTAGGTACCTTATATAAGTGGAATAATCCAGTATTTGTTCTTTTGTGTCTGGCTTCTTTCACTTAACATGTCTTCAAGGTTCATTCATGTTATAGCATATATCAGAACTTTGTTTTTATGACTGAATGATATTCTACTGTATGTATATACCATTATCTATTGATGAACTTTTGGATTGTTTCTACCTTTTGGTTAACATGAATAATGTTTCAGTGAACATTGGCATCCAAGTGTCTGTTCAGAACAAGTCCCTGCTTAGAATTCTTTTGGATACATACTTAGGAGTTCTTTCAGGCAGGGACTGAGCCTTTTATAACCAAAATATCTAGTATTGTAAACTTCATAAGAACAGGTCTTTTTGTCTGTTTTATCTACTGCTTAATAAATACTTCTTTCATGAATGAATGAATAGGATCTATTCATAAATATTTGTCAAATAATTTCAGTATGCTTGAGTAGTTTTCATGATGCTCACTAAAGAGTTTCTTGCTCAGCATGGCAGGTGAGAAAGGGGCTTCCTTTTTTTCCTTTTTCTTCTCTTTAAAAATATTTATTGAAGTATCCCAGGTGGGACCAGTGGTAAAGAGCCTGCCTGCCAATGCAGGAGACAAAAGAGACGTGGGCTCAATCCCTGGGTTGGGAAGATCTCCTGGAGGATGGCATGGCAACCTACTCCAGTATTTTTGCCTGGAGAATCCCATGGACACAGGAGCCTGGAGGGCTACAGTACATAGGGTCATAAAGAGATGGACATGACTGAAGTGACTTAGTGCACATACATACACCAGATTACTTCTATTATAAGTAATCAGTTCAATAAATTTTTATAAACTGAACACATTTGTATAAGTATCACCCAGAAGAAATAAGGATCCTAGCTATAACAAGCATTAAAAAAAAAGTTACAACTTGGGAGTTCCCTCGTGGTCCACTGGTTAAGACTCCACTGCAGGGTGTGTGGGTTCAATCGTTGATCAAGAATTAGGATCCCATATGTCATTTGGTGCAGCCAAAAAGTAAAAATAAAAAGTCACAACTTGATGGGCGCCTGACTAGCGACTGAGGTGTGGTGGCTAACTGTTTGTCAGCACAGCAGTTGTAAAGTCTCAGATGCACATGAATTTTTCCTTTCTAGATGTGATTAAAGGACAGTGTCAGATAGAATACTGGAGCTTAGGGTGACACTCATTTTAAACCCAACATGATAAATAGTGTTGCTAATGGTTCACAGCATTCCCTGTGTTGCTCAGGTGGTAAAGAATCTCTGCAATGCAGAAGGTCTGGGTTCCATCCCTGGATTGGGAAGATTCCCTGGAGAAGGAAATGGCAACCCACTCCAATATTCTTGCCTGGAGAATCCCATGGACAGAGGAGCCTGGTGGGCTACAGTCCATAGGATTGCAAAGAGTCGGACATGACTGAGTGACTAACACTTCAGCTTTCAATGGTTCATATCCTAGGGATGTGAGGCAGTGAATTTTTTTTACAGAAAGTTACTATATTTTGTGTAGAATATGGCAGATTTGGTCATAATATGTATTCTTCCCTTAAATAAAAAAGAAGATCCTATATCTAAATTCACACTTCTTACAAGTATGTTCAGTCTTTATCAACTCATTTCTAAGTAGAGGAGTGGCAATATGGAATTCTGTACTTTAAAGTTTAGAGTCATAACTACCAAAATATAACTTTGTTTAAAAATAATCTTGGGTTTTGCTACTTCTCTAGTCCCATTTAATAATTTGTTATTGTTGTTCAATCACTAAGTCGTGTCTGACTCTTAGTGATCCCAATAACTACAATGTGCAAGGCTTCCCTGTCCTTCACTATCTCCCAGAGTTTGCTCAAACTCATGTCCATTGAGTCAGTGATGCTATCCAATCATCTCATCCTCTGTCACCCCTTTAATAATTTACTTTTTCAATTTCCTATATTCTAAAGCAGGTATTGGCAAATTCTTTCTTAAAGGGCCAAGTAGTAAATATTTAGGTTTGATCATCATACTGTCTTTGTCACAAGTACTCACTCTGCTGGTGCAGTGCAAACTCAGCTACAAACAAACAAATGGCTCTGTTTCACTAAAACTATTCACGGTGACGAGCAGTGGGCTGAATTTGATCCACAGGTTGTTGTTTACCCATCCCTGCAATAGAATATTGTTTTCTTGTCTGATAAACAGATATTCTTAATTTCATGAACTCTGATTTATTGGGGGTTTTCCTTTTATGTTTTATTTTATGGTTATCATTTTTTTAAAGGAAAAAATGAACTGCTACTCTCTGGTCATGAAGATACTCTCCTCTGTTTTCTTCTAGAACAAATAACAGCAAATTTCCTATAAAGAAAAGGAAGTAAATATTTTAGGCTTTGCAGGCCACTCAGTTTGTGTCCCAACTGCTCAACTCTGCTGTTGTAGCAGGAAAACAACCATGGCCAATACATAAATGAGTTAGTGCAGTTGTGTTCCAGTAAAACTTGATTTGAAAATAAGTGAACTATAGTTTGCTGACCTCTTATTTAGAATAAAACTTCAACAAGTGGCCACTCAAAATGATGTGGTATAAAGAACCAATCCTTGAGTACTTCAAGTTCAAATTTATTGAGTATGTGCTGTTTTGCCAGACTGAAGGCTCAATGGCTAATTAAATTCTGGTATATTCACTAGAATATTAAGATCATTGAAAATGATCATTTTGAAGACCAAGTAACATGGGAAAATACTTTTAAGTGGGAAATCAGGATAAAATTTTAAGTTTGTATCTTAATAGCTGTGGACTACTAGAAGGAATTGGCAGTCCACTCCAGTATTCTTGCCTGGAGAATCCCATGGACAGAGGAGCCTGGCAGGCTACAGTCCAGCGGGTCACAAAGAGTCAGACATGACTAAGGCGACTTAGCATGTACACATGCACTAGAAGGAATACATGAATTTTTGTTAGGCAGAAGAATCTGTTTCTGGTTTTCAAGTTGTCTGCATTGTTGTATTCCAAAAATAACTTTAAAAATAGAGTGAGTGAGTAAGTGAAAGTCGCTCAGTCATGTCCAGCTCTTTGTGACCCCATGAACTATACAGTCAATGGAATTCTCCAGGCCAGAATACTGGAGTGGGTAGCCTTTCCCTTCTCCATGGGATCTTCCCAACCCAGGGTTCGAACCCAGGTCTCCCGCCTTGTAGGTGGATTCTTTACCAGCTGAGCCACTAGGGAAACCCCAAAATAGCATAAAGACATGCTGATTAAAACTATTGTTCAATCAAGTCCTGAAGCCTTTTTTCTTAATCAGTGTAGATTGACATTTAAGGAAAATGCATTGTTGCTCTCTTCAAGATATATTGTCATTTTTTCTTTTAATTTTTATATTTTGACAGTGCCCTTATGTCTGCCATTTGTTATATTTACTTACCAAAAAAGAGAATGGTGAGTATTTTCATTCCAATTGTATTACATTCACTCTCTGGAATTAGCATTTGTATTGGCCTTTAAAAAGTTTTAATTATTAACATTAGTTCTATGGCAAGGTTTCGTGGGAATTGTTTTTTAGTACTTCTACCTAAGAGCATCTGCTTAATGGCTTAACTGAGCAGGGTAATTATATTCTTAATGTGTTGTTAAGGAGAAGCTACATGGACAATGTTTCTTTTTATTCTAAACCACAAACTTAGTACTTCTTTTCTTTGCCTTCACTAGTCAAACCATTTCGTGTGAGAAAACTGCTTGATCTTCAGGCCAAAATGGTGAGTACTGAGAAGACCTAAAACTGGCTAGTGTACTCTGTGCTAGGTATGGAGCTAGGCTTTGGGGATGTAAAACTGAATGCATCATTATCTTCAAGAAACTTATTGCCTGGGAAGCTGAGTCAACAAAATAAAAATCAGAGTTAGACTGGGGTCAAGGGAGGAGTGATGATAGTAAGTAGAATTTAACTAGGCCAGGAAGGAAAAGAAGGGCACTCATGGCAGGGAACAGCATGAGCAAAAGCTGGGTAGATATCAAATAGCAGCAACTGTTTATGGAATTGGGTTGGTATGGCTGGAAATTAAGTGTTAGGGAGTAATAAAAAATGACTATTAAAGTGACTAGCTTATTTATTCTGTGGCTGTGATCTAGGAAAGCATTCTTCTCTGGATGCTTAAACTTCAGTATATTTCCTGACTATTATCTCTTGTCCTTACAGCCCTCTTGCCTTATTTCCACTATACCTGCCAGGTAACAGAAGCTTTGGGTATAAAACCGTAGGAAGTTGTGGTGCCTATGCCTAATTATCGAAGCCTGCATGACCTATATAGAGGCATTCAGTTTTCATGAAAAACACAAATACATGTGCACATTTGTGCTTCTCCAGTATGAGGTTTCCTGTTGGTATTTACAATTCAGTGATTGTTTTTGTTTTATTAGGGGCTCCCCTGGTAGGTCACATGGTAAAGAATCTACCTGCAATGCAGACCTGGGTTTGATCCCTGGGTTGGGAAGATCCCCCAGAGAAGGAAATCCCATGGACAGAGGAGCCTGGTGGGCTATAGTCCGTGGGTTCACAAAGAGTCAGACAAGACTGGGCAACTACCACTTTCACTTTCTTGTTTTATAGCTTCCTGTTTCAGTTCTTTGAGCGCATGCAGTATTTTCTGGTAGCTCTCTGAGGATAGTAATAATAATGATTTTGTCTAAATTTAATTTTATTTTATATTAATCAGTCAGAGAAGAGAGAAAATATAGGGAAGAAGTAAAATATGGGAAAAGATCATAAAAGAGAACATGTCAAGTCGGCGATGGTTGCTTTATGATAATTGATTTAAATGTTTGAGTTTCTATTCCTAGATTCTCTATAGCATCTTCCTATAGCTATATCACATAATAAAATTAGGATCTGAATATACGTTTAATCTTTTTATTTTATTGTTACTTTTTTTTTTCTTATTGGCCACAGAATTGAAAACTCTTATTTTATTTCAGGGAATGCAGCCTCATCTCCAGGCTTTGTTGTCACTGTATAAATTCTTTGTTCCTACTTTGATTTCTGTATCTTTGCCTATGAGAAAGAAGGTAAGGGATTAAGGAGTGATAAGTCATATTTGAGTAAGTTAATTTATAGATTTTGACTAAAATGTTTATAGCATACTGTTTAAGATCTAATATTGTAGTGTTGCTTCTGAGAAGTTTTTTAGGGTTTAACACTTCATTTTGATTCTATTCAATGTTCTTAATAGATTCCTGATTAGGAAAAAAACACTTTAAATGGACCTGCATGGGTGAAAAATATTTCATAATTAGTTTACTTTCAGTTAACGAAGAGTTTTAGATTTTATGCTGTTCCAACTTATGGATACCTCCTCTCATATACTTTATATTCAAATTTACAGATCTATTTTAAGAATTCAGAGAATCTGTGGAAGACCGCTCTACTTGCTCTGAGGTCAAGGAATCAAGGATTTCCTTCAGAACCTCTAAAGTTGATGTTAGCTAATGTCCATCCTATAAAAAGAGTAAGTATTTAAAACCCCAAATAACTTCCACAGCCTTCTTTATTGTTAAATTCAAATCATAAGGTTTCAGATGTTGGAAGAGATTATAGATGTCTGAGTATATTTTAATTACTTTAATTAGGATTCTATGCAAACCACATTCAGACTCTATTCATTAGATCACCTTAATAAGTGCTTTTACATTTATAGTTTGTAATCTGTTTGATCCACTGATTGTTTCATTATCTTTCTTTTTTAGAATTGGAATTCTCACTCAATTATACCAGTGCTAAATTCCTGTAACTACAGTAAAGAAAGTAGAAAAAAAAGGATGAATCTTTCCGATTACTTCAGTAGCAATGGATCATTTCCACTGGAACAGCTTAAAAGCTTCCCTCAACTCTTACAGAACATTCATTGCTTAGAGGTATATAACTGGGCCACATGCTTATTTGCATAATCCATTTGATCTTCATGGCCTTTATTTTTGTTGTATATTTCTTATCTGATGATTTCCTTGTTGCTCTGATCTCCTTTTTATATTCTTACAGTTGACTGATTTTTCTGTCTTTGCAGCTGCCTTCTCAGATGGGCGCAGTGCTGAACAGCTCTCTGCTACTTCACTATATTAACTGTGTCAGAGATGAGTCAGTCTTACTGAGGCTGTATCACTGGTTGAGTCAAACATTACAAGAAGGTAAAAATTGATGCTTTTAAAGTATTAGATGAATGAAGAAGGAGCAAGATGGTTTAGGAATAGGTTTCTTTTAAAAGAGTGATGATGTCTAGACAGGAGGAGCCTTCATAAGCTATAATAATTTTTCTGATAATCATATATTCAGAGCCTGAATGCTGCCATTGTTCTAATTTCAAGGGAAAGTAAGAAAGGAGATATATTGTTAAGGAAACACTACTGCATCGTCACCAGAACTCACTGGGTGCCTCCACTTTGATGACTGTCACAGTCCAAGGCCTCTCTATCTTTTGTATGTTCAGAAACTTGCTGTTAAGCCCGCAGAATCACCAGATTAATACTAACCAAACTCTGAGACTATTGTGTAAGCCAGAATGTCAACTTATTATTTCATGATAGAAGTAATTCCTTCTGGTGACCAAAATGTTCATGTTTGCTGACTAGAATAGCTCTTCTCTGCTATCAGTATATGTGGGAGCCACATTAGTCATCAGAAGGTTTCTTAATTATTGAACTGAAGGAAAGGGAAGTGAGAGAGTTTTTCATCCAGGCCATAGTAAAACCCAATCATTTCATTTCCTCTGAGGGGGTCAATCTCTCTAAAAATAGTATTGTGTTCACCAGATTATTTCTTTCCTGGATAAGCAAATCCTGACTCTTCGAGTGTTTAAGGTCAGTTTTAGTCAGTTCCAGGGTAACTCTCTTTTTCCTACTAAAAGTCTTTCTTTACATAGGGTATGATACAGTTAAATTTCCACTCACTAAAGTTCTACCACTCTTAGATTACCCCCAGTTCACCCTAATTTAAATTTAGGCATTCTCAAGCTTTTAATTCATACACTTACTTTCTTTTGGATTACTGTGTGGCATAAAGCTAATCATATTCATTATATATGACTTTTACCACTTTATTTTTTTTACTATAAGTTTTCCCTGTATTACCAAGTTGTTGAGGAACATTGCACTGTCACCTCCATGTATATGTTACAGTCTCCAGTGTGAGCTGGCTGGGATGTATGAGATTGATAGCTTGTTTATATTTATCATTTGTCACTTTAGAGTTGTGGTGATGTTTTGTGTAGCTTTTATTGTTGTGCAACCAGAGCCTTATGCTTAATATTTCTGTTCCAGAGTGTATTTGGTACAAGGTGAATAATTATGATCATGGAAAAGAATTTGCCAACTTCCTGGACACTATCCTCAGGGCAGAATGCTTCTTACAAGTAAGGTTCTGCTTGTTTCCTATGCATTTCACCACCACTTTTTTTTTTTTTTTAGCTTTTTATGTTGTATTGGGGTATAGCCAATTAACAATGTTGTGATAGTTTCAGGTGAACAGCAAAGGGACTCAGCCATACATACATATACATGTATCCATTCTCCCCTAAACTCCCTTTCCATCCAGGCTGCCACATAACATTGAGCAGAGTTCCATGACTTCATCACTTCTTAATTTATTTTTGATATTCATTGAAAACGCTTTCATTGGTGCTTGACATCTTTTGTAAACAATATTTGCTCAATTCAAAATTCATCATGAGTGCATGCTAAGCTGCTTCGGTTGTGTCCAACTCTTTGAGACCCCATGGACCGTAGCCTGCCAGGTTCCTCTGTCCATGGGATTTCCCAGGCAAGAATACTGGAGTGGGTTGCCATGCCCTCCTCCAGGGGATCTTCCTGACCCAAGGGTCAAACCTGTGTCTCGTGCATCTCCTGCATTGGCCAGCGAGTTCTTTACCGCTAGTACCACCTGGGAATCCCAAAATTCGCTATAGATAGAGCCAATTGAACTGATGTTTATCTTTGTACTGTTGACTGTGAAGATAGAACTTGTTAAGTTATCCAAATAAGAGAAAAAGATCTATAGAATTCCCTGACTGTCCAGTGGCTAGGATGCTGTGCTGTCACTGCTGAACACCTAGTTTCAATCCATGGTCAGGGAACTAAAATCCCACAAGCCTCATGGCATGTGTCACCCCTGACACACACACAAAAACAGAGAAAGAGGTTTAAGGGAACAAACTGAAGATATAACTGAATGCATTAAATTAATTGAATTGGCCAGTAAGAAAAGTCTCACAAGGTCACTGTTGTTCAGTTGCTAAGTTGTGTCCGAACTATTTGCGACCCCATGGACTGCAGCACACCAGGCTTCTCTGTCCTTCACTATCTCCTGGAGTTTGCTCAAACTCCTGTCCATTGAGTCAGTGATGCCATCCAATCATTTCATCTTCTGTTGCCCCCTTCTCTTGCCCTCAAACTTTCCCAGCATCAAGGTCTTTTCTAATGAGTTGGCTCTTTGCATCAGGTGGTCAAAGTATTGGACCTTCAGCATCAGTCCTTCCAATGAGTATTCAGGATTGATTTCCTTTAGGATTGACTGGTTTGATCTCCTTGAAGTTCATGGGACTCTCAAGAGTCTATTCCAGCACCACATTTGAAAGCATCAATTCTTCCACAGTCAGCCTTATTTACAGTCCAGCTCTCACATCCATACATGACTACTGGAAAAACTATAGCTTTGATTATACCAACTTTTGTTGGCAAAGTGATGTCTCTGATTTTTAATGTGTTGTCTACGTTTGTCATAGCTTTTCTTCCAAGGAGCAAGTGTCTTTTAATTTCATGGCTGCAGTCACCATCCACAGTGGTTTTGGAGCCCAAGAAAATAAAATTTGTGACTGTTTCCACTTTTTCCCCATCTATTTGCTATGAAGTGATGGGACTGGATGCCAAAATCTTAAGTTTTTTGAATGTTGAGTTTTAAGCCAGCTTTTTCACTCTCCCCTTTCTCCTTCATCTGTTTAGTTGAAGGCTGTTTAGTTCCTCTTCACTTTCTGCTATTAGGGTGGTATCATATAGATATCTGAAGTTCCTGATATTTCTCCTGGCAATCTTGATTCCAGCTTGCGATTCCTCCAGCACAGCATTTCACATGATGTACTCTGCAAGTAAGTTAAATAAGCAGGGTGTTGATAAACAACTTTGACAAAATCCTTTCCCAATTCTGAACCAGTCCAATGTTCCATGTCTGGTTCTAACTGTTGCTTCTTGACCTGCATACAGGTTTCTCAGGAGACAGGTAGGATGGTCTGATAGTCCCATCTCTTTAAGAATTTCCCACAGTTTGTTGTGATCCACACAATGAAAGGTTTAGTGTAGTCAATGAAGCAGAAGTAGATGTTTTTCTGGAATTCCCTTGCTTTCTCTTTGAACCAACAGATGTTGGCAATTTGATCTCTGGTTCCTCTGCCTTTTCTAAATCCAGCTTGTACATCTGAAAATTTTTGGTTTACATACTGCTGAAGCCTAGCTGGAAGGATTTTGAGCATTACCTTGCTAGTGTGTGAAATGAGTGCAATTGTGTGGTAGTTTGAACATTCTTTGGAATTGCCCTTTTTTGGGATTGAAATGAAAAGTGACCTTTCTGTGTCCACCGCTAAGTTTCCCAATTTGCTAACATATTGAATGCAGCACTTTAACAGCATCATCTTTCAGGATTTTTAAATAGCTCAGTTGGAATTCCATTACCTCCACTAGCTTTGTTTGTAGTAATGCTTCCTAAGGTCTGTTTGACTTCACACTCTAGGATGTCTGGTTCTAAGTGAGTGACCACACCATCATGGTTATCTGGGTTATTAAGGCCTTTTTGTACAGTTCTGTATATTCTTGCCACTTCTTCTTAATCTCTTTTGCTTCTGTTAGGTCCTTGCTGTTTCTGTCCTTTATTGTACCTATCCTTGCATGAAATGTTCCCTTGGTATCTCTAATTATATTGAAGAGATCTCTAATCTTTCCCATTCTATTGTTTTCCTGTTTCTTTGCATTATTCACTTAAGAAGGCTTTCTTATCTCTCCTTGTTATTCTCTGGAACTCTGCATTCAGTTGGGTATATCTTTCTGTTTCTCCTTTGCCTTTCACTTCTTTTCTCAAGCTATTTATAAGGCCTCCTCAGACAACTACTTTGACTTCTTGCTTTTCTTTTTCTTTGGAATGGTTTTGGTCACCGCCTCCTGTACAGTGTACAAACCTCCATCCACAGTTGTTCAGGCACTCTTATCGGATCTCATCCCTTGAATCTATGTGTCACTTCCACTGTATAATCATAAGGGATTTGATTCAGGTCATACCTGAATAGCTTAGTGATTTTCCCTATGTTCTTCAATTTATGCCTAAATTTTGCCATGAGGAGCTCATGATCTGGGGCACAGTCAGCTCCAGATCTTGTTTCTGCTAACTGTATGGAACTTCTTCAACTGTAAAGAATATAATCAGTCTGATTTCAGTATTGACCATCTGGTGATGTCCATATGTAGAGTTGTCTCTTGTGTTGTTAGAAGAGATTGTTTGCTATGACTAACGTGTTGTCTTGACAAAACTTTGTTAACCTTTGACCTACTTCATTTTGTACTCCAAGGCCAAACTTGCGTGATACTCCAGGTAGCTCTTGACTTCCTACTTTTGCATTCCAGTTCCCTAAGATGAAAAGGACATCTTTTTTAGTGTTAGTTCTAGAAGGTCTTGTAAGTCATCATAGAACCGTTCAGCTTCAGCTTCTTCAGCATCAGTGGTTGGGGCATAGACTTGGATTACTGTGATATTGAATCGTTTGCCTTGGAAATGAACCGAGATCATTCTGTTGTTTTTGAGACTGCACCCAAGTACTGCATTTTGGATGCTTTTGTTGAGTATGAGGGCTACTCCATTTCTTCTAAGGGATTCTTGCCCACAGTAGATATAATGGTCATCTGAACTAAATTTGCCCATTTCCATCCATTTTAGTTCACTGATTCCTAAAATGTTGATGTTCACTCTTGTCATCTCCTGCTTGACCACGTCCAGTTTACCTTGATTCATGGAACTCACATTCCAGGTTTCTATGCAACATTGTTCTTTACAGCATCAGACTTGACTTTCACTACCAGGCACATCTACAACTGGGTGTCATTTGCACTTTGGCCAAAGCCTCTTCATTCTTTCTGGAGCTATTTCTCTGCTCTTGTTCAGTAGCATATTGGACACATACTGACCTGGGGGGCTTATCTTCTGGTGTCCTATCTTTTTGCCTTTTCATACTATACATGGGTTCTCAAGGCAAGAATACTGAGTGGTTTGCCATTCCCTTCTCCAGTGAACCATGTTTTGTCAGAACTCTCCACCCCATGACCCATCTGTTTTGGGTGGCCCTACATGGCACGGCTCATAGCTTCATTGAGTCATGCAGCCCATTTGCCATGACAAGGCTGTGATCCATGTGATCATTTTAATTAGCTTTCTGTGGTTATGGTTTTCATTTTGAAGGCTGTGGGATTGTAGTTGCTTCTTCTGTCTGCCCTCTGATGGGTGAGAATAAGAGATTTGTGCAAGCTTCCTGATAGGAGGGACTGGCTGTGGGGAAAACTGGGTCTTGCTCTGGTGGGCAGGACCATGCTCAGTAAATCTAATCCAATTTTCTGCTGATGGGTAGGGCTCTGTTTCCTCCCTGTTAGTCACAGCAGTGACCCTATGTTCTTATAATCAAAGCATTTTTTTGATTGCTGAATATGTTAAGCCAGCTAATTATTTGACCTGGGTAACCCTGAGTTGTACTATTAAGCTGCTACTCAGGTATCAGCACCATCAAGAAGCCTTAGTCAGTCTGAGTTAGATGTTTTTTTCTTTGTGCTCCCTTGGCTCTTGTGTGTTTTCCTGTATCGTGGTATCTTGAAGCATCTGTTTTTCCACACATTATGGGCTCCAGACAGGTGGGAACCCTGTCTAACTTTTCTTCATGTATAGGTGTTCAACTTGGTACCTGGTGCAAAAGAGATTGTCAATAAATGTTTGTTGAATAAATCTTAAGGATTTTATATGAAACCATTGAATTAATAAGTTGGATATGGATAATGGTGGTGAGAATAAAAGAATTAATTTAGGTTGACTTTTTAGATTTTCTTCTTGGAAAGATGATGATGAGAGTATAAGAAAAGCAGGCTAAGAAGGAAAGATATATTTGCTTTAAAAGATGCCTGTGAGGTATCTAAGAGGTTCAGTAGGCAGTTAGATAATAAGTCTAGGGATCAGAATGAGATTTGGGCTGCAAATGCAGAAATTTAAGACTTCTCATGATATAGGTGATAGTTTTAGCTGTATTATAGATGTGATTGTTCAGAGAATTCATGTCTGAAAAGAAGGTGCAGAATAGAGTCTTGGTGCATGCCACTATTTAAGACTCAGGATGACAGAATTAAAAGGGAAAGCCCTGGATCCTCACTCACTTGTGAAAACACAAGCAGCTAGAAACTCAACCCTCCCCAGATGGTGTTGCCCAGAGTTCAGGTTTGGTCTGTGGCTCCTATTGAAATTCCAGACTTACTGTGCAACTTTATGGACTATTCAAGTGTCTGTATGTACTCCAAAATAATAGTTTCATTTATCTTGAAAATATTTCATAACTTGATTTCTTACCTTTTTAGTTGGTGAAGTTTTATGGTATTTGAAAACTATGTTGATAAAGATGTTAAAGTATTCAAATATTAATCATCTGGTTCTTTTTAGGAGAAAGTCTGATACCTAACCCAAGGCTTTTAATTATATTTATGACAAAAAAATAAGAGTAGAACAACTATTGCACAATGTAAATTGGTTGTTTTGAGTGTAGTTATGACTGAAGAGCTCCACGTAAGGTTTTACCATCAACTTGTGTTATAGGAGGGGTTTTATTCCTGTGAAGCATTCCTGTATAAGAGCCTTCCTCTCTGGGATGGCATCTGTTGTCGATCACAGTTCCTTCAACTTGTGAGCTGGATTCCTTTTAGTAGCTTCTCTGGTATGTATCATGAAAATTTGGAGCCATTTAATTCAGTGTAATGTTAATTAAAAGAATTGAATGATGTTTTTCTTTTCTGATTTTTAGAGGTGAAGCCACTTCTTTTTGACCACCTTTCTCGGCTTTTCTTTACATCATCTATTTTTTTCAAGGTAAAAAACATTGTCTTAGTCTATGGCTGGTGGTACACAATTTCAAACCCACATTAAAACAGTAGTTTTTTAATAGGATTCACTTGAACCTGGACTTGAGGTGCTACGTCACTCAAATCAAAGTTAATGTATAGAATTTTCTGTTTTTAAGGTTTTGTCACATATAATTTTCCTGAACTGTTTCCACTTGTGGCAGATAATGAAGTGAATGAACAGGTGGCAAATCAGTATTAAAAACAAACAAGGAAATAACTTAAGCATACTTTGATTGTTGTGGTTGATAGTTTTGTAGATATACTTTTTCATTTCTCAGATATATATTGAGCACACACTATGTGTTATAATAGTCATTTTCTGTTAATAAAATTGTTCTAACCTTATATAATAAAATTAAAATGTGTTACTATTTTGGAGTGTTCTCCAAAAAAAAAAAGGCTGTGGTTTACAGGAGTTCTATCTGAGTTTGAGAGCCACTTTCTTACAGAATGGTTATTCCTATTCTAAAAGAGTGACAATATAAGTAATGTTCCTTTGTAGTTTTTTTCACCTTAAATCATTTATTGTTGGCCACATTTACAGAAAAAATATATTGTCCTGATTAGTGTTTATCCTAATCAAATGGTACTTTATTAATTACCTATCCCAAACTTCTAATTCAGTTATTCTTTTTTTTTTTAAATGTTTACTTTTGTTTATTTGGCTGTGCTGGGTCTTAGTTATGGCACGCAGGATTTTTAGTTGCAGCGTGTGAACTCTTAATTGTGTCATGTGAGATCTAATTCCCTGACCAGGGAATGAACCTGGGCCCCCTGCATTGGGAGTGGAGAGTCTTAACCACTGGACTACCAGGGAAGTCCCTCAGTTATTCTTTATTTCTTCTCTTACTTTACCAATCTAGAGTGCTGTTTATCTGTAAATATTAGATTAAACCATCTGAATAGATTTAACCTGATAGATCAAAGCTGTTTGACAATTGGCAGTTTCATATGTTCCAGCCTAACAAGGATACATTTATACACACATGTATATATTCATATTTGAGAGTAGGAGGTGGAGAGAGGAAGGGAAACAGACAGCGGGCCAAAGACAGAAATCAAGGGAATACTTACTACTTAATTCTCACTGAAAAAGAGAGTCTATAAAGGAACATTTTCAAGAAGTATGAAAAGAACCAGGAGAATAGTAGTTCCAAACAGAGAGACACAGGCTATCAAGAAGGAGTGAAGGGATAATGTTGTCATATATCCCAAGAGGGTCCAGAAAGATATAGACCAAAAAAGTTTCTTTTGGAATTGATAATACAGAGGTCTTGGCTACTTTTGTGAACAGGTTCAGTGGAGTGTGGGGTAAAAACCAAATTGTGGAGCTTGAGGAGTCAATGAGAAATGAAGACAAGACAATGAGTATTGACTGTGTTTCCAAAAGTTTGGCTAAGGGAGGGATAGAGAAAGAGAGCTACAGTGGGACTTTGAATCAAGGGAAGGTTGTAACTTTTTTTGTCCCTAGAGTGAGAAAAACCTGGACATGTTTATAGATAGGATAGAAGGAGCCAGATAAGAAGAAAGAGAGGTTGAAAATGGGGGAAAGATTGGGGATAATTGACAGTGCAGGGTTTCAGAAAAAGCATGATAGTATTGGTTTAAGACTAGGTAGAGTGATTTGCCTGAATGGTGGTAAGGGGTTGGGAGGTACTACTCTTTTTCTAAGATTGGGGACAAGGATGTAGAGATAGGTGGACAGTTTGAACAAAAAACAAGAAATTGAAATACTTTCCTAAAAATGTTAAATTTCTCAAAATAAGAAGTGCATTGTAGAGGACAGAATTGAGTAGGGAGCTTCAAGAGGGTGTTATGTGAAGAGGACAGCCATTAAAAAAAATGGGGGAGAGAGACAGCTGATTGAAGAGAAGTATAGTTAAAGGATCACTGGGCTTCATTAAGGGCCCAGATGAAGTTGGAGACCATAACTTAGGAGTGGTGTAGAGCTGTGCTTCTCAATCTTTTTTTTAAACCCATACCCCTTCTCATAAAGATAAAAACCTCATGCCTTCCATTAATATGAAGGCTGGATGGGATAGAGTAGGTAAGTGGAGATTTTCTGAATATGACATAGTAATATTGAATATCTTTGCAAATGTTAAATTAGCACCAAAATAGAAGATTATTTTAGGTGATTCCAAGTTTGATTTCAGCTCAAACATGTTTATAATCTGAATGTGAGGTGTGTCAGTTTCTAAAAAAAATTAATTGAACTCTTCAATGAAGTAGCAGTGAGCACTGTATCACTACAGATATTCAAATAGTACCTAGACCATTAATTATTAAGGATGTTTGAGAAAGATTTCCTGTATTAGGTTTTGGGATGGTGTGGATTGCTTTCAAATTTTTAGATATGACAATTTATCCTTATAGTGTTCCAGTCACACTTGTTTCAAGACTATATTGTTTATATGTGAATAAGTTCCTGGGATATCAAGGCAAAGCCTAAGAAAGGAAAAACTATAGAATTGTTTTCCACAGTCACAGAAGATAAATTTTATGACCAACAATAAATTGCAGTTGTAGACCCAAGGTGAAAAGAGTAGGAAACACATATCTGAAGCAACTTAAGAGGATCTCTGAGGGGAGATAATAAGGGGTGGGTGATGCCATATTTGATGATGTAATATATTATGAATGAATATAATTTAGAAAAACAAGAGTCTATTCCTCGCTGATAAGCTGGGGGCCAGCTTGTAGAGAAAATGGCAAAATAAACTTGTACTTGCATTAATCTGTCTCTTGGGAGACCAGTCTGATTGGAGCAGCAGCTACAGGGTTCTGAATTGGATGTGATTGTCTCCATAGTCCCTTCTATCTCTAAGCCTCTGGTTTAGTCTGTTAGTTCTCAACACTATGGTGTAACTGAATGATTTTTTGTTTTGCCTCTGCAGTGTAGTGTTCTTCAGTGTCTGAAAGAACTACTGCAGAATTGGCTGCTGTGGCTTTCTGTGGACATCCATGTGAAATCTGTGAGGAACAGTCCTCTGTGAGTTATCTTATAACCCTCCACAAGAGTTGATCTGTGCAAAACTGCATATGGAGTTTAACGGTGTGACGTGAAACCTTATTGCTCTATGTAAATACTGAATCGTACTTTTCTAAGGTTTTTTCTTCTACTTTTCACCCTTCCCCACAATCCTGTGAGAAAGATTAATTTTTCAAGTTTTATTATATAAATCAGAAAGCAACCCCTAAGCCTCTAACGTTAGAACTTGCAACTTTGGCTTTCATTCAGTTTGTATTCTTGCTTATATGTGAAGTCAATTTTGATGATGGCTAGGAAAATCTGTAATTTTGCTGTACAGAATTTTTTTTTTGTTTCCCTGATATATTTTGCTTGTATACATTAATAATTTTTTTTCCTCTATGATTTTCTTTTTTTTTCCATTTATTTTTATTAGTTGGAGGCTAATTACCTTACATCATTGCAGTGGTTTTTGTCATACATTGAAATGAATTAGCCATGGATTTACATGTATTCCCCATCCCGGTCCCCCCTCCCACCTCCCTCTAATTTCACTTTGTAGTTTAAAAAGAGCCCTGAATTTCCATTATGTTCATTATTGTTAAATATAAAACCTCAAAATGAAAGTCAAAGACTTAACTGAATTTCAAGGAACTGCCTAAACCAGGTTGCTTTGATTCTTTCTACCTAGAGTCTTGGGTTCTCCTATATTCTTTTTTAACATTAATTTTTTTAAACTTTATATTAATGAAAATTCCAAACAAATTCAAAAGTAGAGAAAATAATACAGTTATTACCCTTATGTACACATCATCCAGCTTCAACAGTTACCAACTCATGGTTAACTTTTTCTCATCTTTAGCACCCTTCATGTCTCTCCTCCTTTGTACTAGATATTTTTTAAGCAAAACCCAGACATCATTTCAGCAGTTGAAAAATGATATCAGTATAACATATAAAAATTAATAGTTCATAATATGTTCAAATATCTAATCAGTGTTCAAATTCCCTATATTATCAGTCGCATTCTTACTTTATAACATAAGGATCCCTTAGCTTCAATAGCAAATACTTGGTTGTTAGTTTGGTAAGATTAGTCTAGATCTATTTTTCTCTATGTTCTTTTCCCTATAGTTATCTCCAACTTTGTTATGAGAATGGAGAAAACAAGATTCTTGGAAGTTACCTGGAAAATTCTTATTACTTCATATTTATTATTATAGTGCTTCCAAATATCATGTATGTCTGATCACTTTTAGAAGGAAATGGAGCATTAGTCAGTAGTGAAAGTATCTTGTAAAGCAGTGCTTCTCAAAATGTGGTTCCTGGACCCACAACATTAGCATAACCTGGGAACTTGTTGCTATTTAGTCGCCCAGTTGTGTCCGACTTTTTGTGACCCCATGGACTGCAGCACTCCAGGCTTCCCTGTCCTTCACCATCTCCCAGAGCTTGCTCAAATTCATGTCCATTGAGTCAGTGATGCCATCCAACCATCTCATCCTCTGCCACCTCCTTCTCCTCCTGCCTTTAGTCTTTCCCAGCATCAGGGTCTTTTATAGTGAGTCAGCTCGTCACATCAGGTGGCCAAAGTATTGGAGCTTCAGTTTCGCATCAATTCATCCAATGAATATTCAGGGTTGATTTCCTTTAGGATTGCCTGGTTTGATCTCCTTACTGTCCAAGGGACTGTCAAGAGTCTTCTCCAATACCACAGTTTGAAAGCATCAATTCTTCGGAGCTCAGCCTTTGTTATGGTCCATCTCTCACATCCATACATGACTACTGGAGGTAGAGCCCAGAAATATGTGTTTTAACAAATGCCCCCAGAATTTTGGTACAAGCTAAAGTTTGGGAACCCCTATCATAAGAAATTCCATTTGAATGCTTAATCTCTTCAAATACCTTAATTCTATTAAGAATAGTATGTTTACATTTATAATGTTTGGCCAATTTGCAGTGTAAGTCTTAGGCACACTAATACAGGTGGTTTACAATTTCTGTATTTTCTTTCTAAAAATCCTAGGATCCTTTTTAATTAGTGTCATAAATTTTGAGAGGGCATTTAAAAAGGGGCTCTGCTTTCTAAAATTCTTAAAACAAATAAATGTACATAATTGTAGGTAACTTTGCTTGTCTTAATACTACTTGGCATTATAAAATATAGCTCTTAAGTTCTCTATAATTCCTTCCATTTTGGAGACAGGAGTGTAATGCTATGTCTCCATCATGTGACCATGTACCATAGAGGGAGTAAACTGTAATAGATCACAAGGAGAGAAGGGTGGGAAACTGTTCTCAGCAGTGGTTCTCCAGGGGGCATTTTGTTGGCACAGTGACTGGAAAGAGGGTGCTAACATCTTTTAGTAGGTAGAAGCCAGAAGTGCTAAACGTGCTGTAGTCAGTAGGGAGTAGAAGGCAATCCTGAATGATGAGTTGTGTCATCTAAAATACCCCCGGTAGTGTCCTGTAGAGAAACATTTTTAAAGGATGCTGTCTGAGCAGTCATTATTGTGCAGATTATTTCAGACATATTTGTCAAGTGCTGCCAGAAATCATAAAGTACAGTTTTGCAAGTGACAGTCTGACTGTATGTATCCCCACCTATTTGAATGGTCTCTTAATCTTTTTCTGCTTGCTCTGCCACTGAATTATGTCATGGTGGTGGGTAATGGTAGAGTTGTTGTCATTTCAAGCTCTCAGACTATATATGATTCCTTTTTCCTTGTGCATAACCATTGTTGGCTACCTAGGTCTGAGGGTAAAGCTATGAAATCACATTTCCCAGTCTTTTCCTAATCCAGTCAACAGTGGATTATAGGACAAGAGTGAGTGGATGGATGGATTGAATCAATTATATCCATGTGTCATTTAAAGAGACACAATTCATTGATTTGGCTAGAGTATAAAATATCTGGATCTGGGTTTTACTAGAAGAATGAAAGATGCCAGAAATTTTACTCATTCAATTTAAAAATTGAATTCCAGTTAAAGTGAATATATTTTTAACAGCATTTTTAGTTCAGAAATTCAGGCAAAACTGGTTTTGGATTTGTGTACTTAGAAACTAATTTGCTGACTGCTGTGGTCCCTGGACATTGGTACTATTATCTAAAGTCTGGAGTTCAATCCTTTCTTTCTCTGTTATTTACTAATATTAGAGTGGTTGCTCAGGATATTCTATGAATTGGTCTTAATGGTTCCCTAGATAGCTGTATGGAGAAGGCAATGGCAACCCACTCCAGTACTCTTGCCTGGAAAATCCCATGGACAGAGGAGCCTGGTAGGCAGCAGTCCATGGAGTTGCGAAGAGTCGGACACGACTGAGCGACTTCACTTTCACTTTTCATTTTCATGCATTGGAGAAGGAAATGGCAACCCACTCCAGTGTTCTTGCCTGGAGAATCCCAGGGATGGTGGAGCCTGGTGGGCTGCTTTCTATGGGGTCGCACAGAGTTGGACACAACTGAAGCGACTTAGCAGCAGCAGCAGCAGATGGCTGTATGTTGTGATCACTGTGGTTTTAAAAAAAGTGAATTATACTCTGGAGCGCCGATCATTTTCTGAAATTCCCAACAACTTTTTGCTGTATATTTAATCCAGCTTTAGCTGGGAAATTGTGAGGACTCTTGCTAATATGGATCTGCATGTCATGGTTTCTTATTGCAGAGAGACAACTTTAGGTGGATCCATGAACTCTGTGTCCGAACTGATTCACTACGTAGGATGGCTGTCCACTACTGCAGTGCGCTTGGAAAGCAACCATACTTTCTTGCTGCACTTTATTTTGGATTTCTATGAGAAGGTAGTATATATCCCATTTCCCCTACTTAGATTTTTGTGATAGCTGTCTGCTTTACTACTCTGTTGTTTAAATTTTATGCACAACTATTACGTTGGGCTATGATCTTATTATCATAGTTAATTTTAGTTAATAAACTAAAGTTAAACATAGTTAATTTTGAAGTTAATGATTGTATTCTGGCCTGAATAATTGACAAGAAGAAAAAGCAAATGCTTTTTTCTGAATTCCAGGTACCACTTTAATAGACATTCCCCTGAATAATGCTAACCCTAGACAGAAGTCTGTCTTTTTGCTCATCCATTATAGATCTCTAACCCCTGGTAAAAAAAACAAAAATATGCTGTTTCCTTAGCTCTCTACCCCCAGCTTTCAGCTGCCTTATTTCTGCGAGTACCTATGATTCTGGTCCTCTTCTGTTGTTTTGTAGTATTCAACCTGGACAGAACTGTTATCTAGGAAGTACCCACTAATCTCAGTTTTCCTGGCTTCTTCCCTTCACTGATACCTAGTTGTATTATGTTTGCTTGGAAGATTCCTTGTTTGTTTTCCAGGTTGACAGCTAATTAATGTGATAAATCAGTATTTATGGGACTTAAGCCCACCTAGGGCTCCCCAGGTGGCATTAGTGGTAAAGAACCTGCCTGCCAATGCAGGAGACATACTAGGTAGCGGATTCAATCCCTGGGTTGGGAAGATCCCCTGGAGGAGGGCATAGCAACCCACTCCAGTTTTCTTGCCTGGAGAATACCATGGACAGAAGAAACTGGTGGGCTACAGTCCATAGGGTCGCAAAGAGTTGGACATAACTGAAGTGACTTAGCATGCATAGGACTTAAGAAAGAAATGTTCTTTTCCCCTTTTTCCCTAACTCTAAGATTTCTCCCCAGAAAAAAAAGAGATTTTAATAATAAAACCTTCCAGAAATAATCCTCTATCATAAGGTTACTATTTGGTGAGGTACATTTTTGAGCAAGTTCTGGCTACCTATTCTGTTTATGAATCAGGCAGGACCAACCCTAATGTTACTGCTTATTCTCTAGTGATGCTTCTTTGGGTGAAGTTGGTTGAGGGGTTCTGAGGAATAATTTATATACTGATATTATCATTCTTCCCAAAAGGTGTGTGACATATATATAAATTATAACCTTCCATTAGTGGTGGTGTTTCCTCCTGGGGTCTTCTATCCTGCACTCCTCAGCCTGGATTCCAGTATCCTGAAT